AATATATATATATCCTTTTTATCTCCTTTTTGTCTCCTTTTTTGTCTCTTTTTTTTTTGTCTCCTTTTTGTTATAGACTAGAGGAGACAGGAGGGAGTCAGATGGCTGCGCCTGCGTTACTTTTCCTTGTTGATTGTTTTACAAGGTAAATAAGAAAAAAAAAGAGAAAAAAAAAAAGAGACAAAAAAAGAGACAAAAAAAGAAACAAAAAAAGAGATAAATAGGAAAGAATTAGGGGAGACAGAATAGATCAGACAGAAAGGAGACACAATAGTACAGAGAAAAAAAAGAAAAAAAAAAAGAAAAAAAAAAGAGAAAAAAAAGAGACAAAAAAGAGACACAAATAGAGAGACAGGAGACACCACAGACGTACACATATGCTGCTACTACTACTACTGCTGCTGCTGTTGCTGCTGCTGCTGCTGCTGCTGCAGGTATCCATCAGCTGGATCACATTCTTTATGTTTATTAATTGACGCCTTATTGCGTTACTTAGATCCATGCAGAGGATCAATAAGAAGAAGATGTCTACGTGCAGCAACATGTCTCCTTTTTACTCTTGTTTCTTCTTTCCCTATTTGCTCTTTTAATCAAAATACACAAAGGTATTTTTTATTCATTAATTAGGGTTTAGGGTTTAGGGTTTATGGGCTTAGGGTTTAGGGTTTAGGGTCTTCAAAAACGGACAAAAAGACATACTTATTGATATACATATTGTCTACTCAGTATCTCTAGGGTTTAGGGTTTAGGGTTTAGGGTTTAGGGTTTAGGGTTTAGGGTTTAGGGTTTGTTTAACAGGTTGGCGGTGGGTACAGAAGAGGGTGTTGTTGTTGCTTATGATTTAAGGACAGCAACAAAGATGCGAGTGTTTGAAGGTCATCAAGGTAAACCCTAAACCCTAAACCCTAAACCCTAAACCCTAATTTTTTTTTTTATTTGTTTTTTTATTGATGTGTGTCTCTGTTTGTTTCTCTGTCAATGCTACACCACTAGTTTCTCTCTCTCTTCATCTCTCTCTGCTGCTGCTGTTGCTGCTGCTGCTGCTGCTGCTGCTGCTGCAGGAGGCGTATCTGCCTTAGGGTTTAGCGATGATGGCAATTGGATAGCGTCGTACTCTGTTGCTGAGTCTGCTGTTAGACTCTGGCATGTGAGTTATGCTGCTGTTGCTGCTGCTGCTGTTGCTGCTGCTGCTGCTGTTGCTGCTGCACTTGCTGCTGTTGCTTCAGTAGATGCTGCCGCTGCACGTCTTGCTGCTGCTGCAGTAGTTGATTCTTCAGCAGCTGCTGCATCAGGGATAATAGCAACCTGTGACTGCCTGTAATCCCCGTCCTCTTTGCTGCTGCTTCTGCTGCTACTGCTGCTGCTGCTGCTGCTGCTGCAGCTGAGTGGTTCTAGTTTCTTAGGAGGTATATGGGGAAGCAGCAGCAAATCCAGCGGTTTGCTTGAGTTGCCTCGTCTTCCCCACAATATCCTCTGGCTCTCTCCTCTCCATGTAAGTCTTCCTCTCCCGTATCTGCAGCAGCAGCAGCTGCTGCTGCTGCTACAACACCACCAGCAGCAGCAGCAGCAGTAGTAGAGGCAGCAACAGCACATCCAGTAGCAACATAAATAATACGCCCACTTATGCTGGTTGTTTGTTCCTTATGAGGGTTTAGGGTTTTAGGGTTTAGGGTTTAGGGTTTTAGGTTTTAGGGTTTTAGGGTTTAGGGTTTAGGGTTTAGGGTTTGCGTATGCAGATAATGTCTACTGTGTCTCTTTATCATCAAGAGAAATCCCTTTGGGTATTAACAAGAGAAAATGGTGTCTCTTATGAAATCACAACCGCGTAAGCTGCTGCTGCTGCTGCTGCAGCTGCTGCTGCTACAGCTGCTGCAGCTGCTGCTGCTACAGCTGCTGCTGCAGCTGCTGCTGCATATTTCGATACGAGTTGAGCGCAGGAGCGCTGCGTGGTTTTTTGCTTCCGTAGCAGCAGCAGCAACCGCAGCACCAGCAGCAGCAGCAGCAGCAGCAGAGTTGTCATTATTTGCTGCTGCTGTAGCAGCAGCAGCAGCAGCTAGAAGAAGCATATATGGCCTATTTAGTATTTGCTGGGGTCCCCAAGAGGGGCCCCCCCTGGTTCCTGAGTGTAGGGGGGCCCCCAGCTGCAAGATGTATTGGGGGGCCCCCTGCTCAGGTGTATCTGCAGCTTAGCAGCAAAAAGATTTCCTTGTTTGTATGAATTAAATTATTTATTATTTTAATTTATTTAATTCCTCATTTTGCTTCTGCTTCTGCTGCTGCTGCTGCTGCTGCTGCTGCTGCTGCTGCTGCTGTTGCTGTTAGGGGTAGAAGACAGGGGGCCCTCGTAGTGGCACTTTAGCAGCAACTGTATATGTAACGAGGGGACACAAGCAGCAGCAATAGTAGGAGAAGGAGCAGCAGCAGCAGCAGCAGCAGCAGCAAGGGGTCTTGCTAGCAGCAGCAGCAGTGCTGCAGTTTGCATGCATGCAAGGCAGTAACAAATTGAGGTGTACGTACACCTGAAGTGTTTGTGTATAATATAAATGTTAAGGAAAGATATGTTAAGATAAACCCTAAACCCTAAAGCTAAACCCTAAACCCTAGGGGTAAACCCTAAACCCTAACTGCAGGTGTTTTTTGTCTCCCCCAATAGATACACAGCAGCAGAGACACACACACACACACACACACACACACGCACGCACACACACACACACACACACACACACACGAAGGGAGCAGCAGCAACAGCAACAGCAACAGCAGCAGAAGCAGTAGCAGCAAGCTTAATATCCTATCCATGTAATACTAATAAGACAGCAAACACTAACACCCTAATAACTTTTCTTGTTAGGTATAACAACAAATATATTTATTTATTTTTTTATTATCTTTTATTTAATTTAATACCTAATTAAATAAAGCCATGGGGGCCCCCTGTGGGGCCCCTCATTAGGGGCCCCCCGGAGGGGCCCCCCATGGGGGCCCCTCTTAGGGTCCTGGGGCTGGGGGCCCCAGCCCTACAGGAGAATTATATATATTGTTCCTTTTAATGGATATATTTATAAAATATTATATTTATTTATAATAAAAAAAGAAAAGAATATTCCCTTATTTAGGGGCCCCCTAATGCATGCATTTGCTGCCTATAGGTTAATAAAAAGATCAAGATGAAGATGGTTGGTTTGAGTTTAGGGTTTAGGGTTTAGGGTTTAGGGTTTAGGGTTTAGGGTTAGAGATTTGGCTATGGATGTCTCCAAGACCTCGGCTATGCCAGCTATGCTCTCTTGACCTATTGAGCTGCTCTACTCACCAGCTAGGGTTTAGGGTTTAGGGTTTAGGGTCTAGGGTTTAGAGTTGGTTTCCTGGATCCTTCAGGTAGCAAGGCAACTCGCTTGTCTCACAGAAGATGAGAGGCAGGCGCGAGACATTGAGAGGAGGCGGTTCGTCTAGGGTTTAGGGTTTAGGGTTTAGGGTTTAGGGTTTAGATTTAGTTGAGTCATTTTCTTAGCAATAAAGAGACAATTAAATAAATAACTAGACACATAAGGAAAAGAAGAGACAAATAAATAAATAAGGAGACACATATAAATATATATAGGAAACAATTAAAAAAAAGGAAGAAGATAAAATAAAAAGAATAGCAATATAAACATAACAAGAAAAAAGAAGAAAATAATAAAAAAAAAAAACACGAGGAAAAAAAGTATAAATAGCATAAAAAGAAAGAAAGAGAAGCCAAGGGAAAAAAAAAAAAAAAAAAAAAAAAAAAAAAAAAAAAAAAAAAAATTTTTTTTTTTTTTTTTTTTTTTTTT